CATGCCAGGCCTCACCAGTGTATTCCCCCAGAATCATGCGGGACATGATGACGGTGAAAATGGGAGCTGAGCTTTTCACAGTCTCTGCAAACGACACTGCCACATTCTTCAGGCTCACCAGCCCCAGCACCACTGTTGCAAATCTGCAGCAGGAGAAAAAAAATCACAATAAATTAATTTTTTAAACGAATTAATTAATTACTGCACCAGAAGAAATGAAAATAATGCTTCAGGAGCTACTCTCAGGCACTCAGCATAAAAAGAATTGCTCTGTGATTTCTCCTGCACCTGCAAGGTCAGATCTTTCAACTGTGGCTTAAATATTATTTATTTAAAGCAAATAAAGGCACCCTTGGGCAATGTGGAATGTCTTTGGCTGCAGAGTGCATTTCCAGAAAACAAATTTACTTTTTAACACACTCCAAGGTTCAAGTGACCATTTTTGAAGTCAAAGTTTTCAACAGGCTCAGTTAAAAAAGTGAAAATCTTCTAAAAACCAGAAAATCACCAAGGAAACTTCATCTGCAGTTATCCATCTTTAGTGTAAATTAGATAGGGTCATAATTACCACAGTTTAAACTCTGAAATTAATTGAGTTTATCACTTATTTGATTTTCTTTATCAGTTTTGCAGGGCAGAGGAAACAAAACCAGGCATTTTTATTCCCTCCTCCACCACAAACTAACACAACCCCAGCACCCAGCAAATATTTACTCTTCAAAAGATAAATTTTAATAGCCTGGATGACTTTTGAGGCAAAAGGCTGATAAATATTAATGCACTAAACAAACATCAGCCTCAACAGAGAGCAGGAAGAAAATAAATGGAAATAGAAGTGAGGACTGAAAAAATGGGCCAAAAAATTAACATCTGGGTAAAAGAACAGCAAATAAAAATAAAATTATTCTGGGATATTTCTTGAGGGGGGGAAGGACACAAGAACAGAACTTTGGCTTGGAAAAGCAGCAATATTAGCAAAGATAGAGCAGGGAATGGTTTTTATTTACCTCATTAATCCAACAAAGAGCATGATCATGATGAAATTTGGGGGGTAGGAGATTCTGGTCTTGTGCTGGTACAGACAGCAAGGGACAAACATCTTGATGCAGCCAATGAAGGTGGTGGAAAGCATCTGAACAGCACCTGAGGAGGAGCAGAGAGGGGAAATCGAGTCAGGGCACAAACTGCAACACAACAAATCAACCGTCATGGGAAATCTCTTACACAAACATCTCCGTGGTGGTTTTGGCAGTGTGTGTTTTATATATTCTCACTAAAGGCCTTTATTTCTATAAAGCAAATGTTTATAAACCTGGTTCACAGATAAAGTGCCCTTTGGTTGCCTCTTAAGAAGAAAAAACAGAACTAAAATGGGCATTGATAACAGAGATAACCAAAGGTCACTCCTGCACACTGCACAGCTCTGGGGAGCATCAACAATTTACTCAAAATTTGGCTTTTTGTTAAACCCTCCAGCACAGAAAACTAAAAAATTCCTTTTTTTTTTTCCTCTTAAAGCTCCTCTACGAGGAAAATTTCATCTTTCAGCAAGTGGAGGAAAGGAGAGTGGCAGAAACCACTTTAAAGGCCAAAATCCCAAATCCCTCCCCACACCTTCCAAACCAAACTTTTT